GGCACAAAGGCTCCCGATGCTCAACCTATTTACAGAGATTTCCCCACCACCTCTTTGGCTCCATCATTTTCTCTCCCAAGATTTCGCAGCCCTCGTTCGCAGGAGAGGGCTGCAAGTTTTCTCCAGACGTTGGGGTCTTCCCCGCCGTCTTTGGGCGGATCTGGCCCGACCGGGAGACAGGAGATAATTTTGCCGTTTGCTTTAAAAACGGGACAGATGCGGATATTTATTTCTATTTTATTTCCCGTTTAACGCACAGGCGGCGGCGGCTGCTGCATCGCAGCCCGCCCTGACACAACGAGAACTAAAGGTGCAAATGAAGCCGGGGCTTACTAGTGCAGGCAAAAAATATATGTATATATATAATATATACATTTTATATCCTTAAAATCCCTGGCACTTTGGATGCCAGGAGCCACCTCGTGCCCGCCCCATTTGCCCCGAAGGAAGAAGCGCTCGGGCATCCGCGCTACAGCTCCGCGCCCGCGGAAAGCCTCTGCGCGCATTCCGCCCTCCCCGTCCCGCCGGAGAACGACTGTACACGACTGGGACACGCACACACCACCCCCCCTCCCATCCCAGGACCCCCCCCTCCCTCCCCCCCAAGCAGTAATTAGCTGTTTTCTTTGAACGTCCCTGAGAGTTTTCCTCCACATCAGGCAAAGTTTTTCCAGACCCAACATTTTTCCTGCATTTCCCCTCTTCCCCCCAAAAAACTTGTCCCTTTGACCCTCCTCAAAAGGGATGCTTTGAGCAAGGTCTCAGCCCTCCTGGCCGCAGCATCAGGCCACGCAAGGGGACAATCCGGAGCCCCCCCACGTGTGCCGGAGCTGCTGCTGCATTCCCGGGAGGCTCTCGCTGAACTGGGCTGTTCCTCCTTCCCCAAAACCTCCCCCAAAAGGGACTTTCTGCCCCTTCACCCCAGCTGACCGCAGGCAGACCTGGAGCCGGTGCCGTCTGGGGGAGCCCTGAGTAGGGACCATGCTGAGGGGAGGTGGCTGGAGGCGCAAAGACCTCTCAGCTGGAGGTCAGCCTTTGGGGAGAGGAGGCCACCTGGGTAGACACGTGTCCCAGGAGGTTCTCCCCAATTTCGGACACGCGGGGGCCCTGACACCGGAGAGCAGAGCTCTGATGTGGCGCTTGGCAGGTTGGGGCTGAGGGGCAGCACCCCACGCCGAGGCCAAACCCCACTCGTGTGCCGGCGTGAGCCACAGCGCAGCCCCGGTTGTCACATGCCTTGACTCAGATATATCGCCACTATTGCCACTCCCAGGGGCTCCGTGCAGATCTGACACGGGGGACTTTGCCTGCCCGGGGGGAGCAGCCTCCCCTATAGCTTTCTTGGCAGAAGGAGAAGGGATCCTGTGGCAAAAGCACCTGCTGTGATTGCAGCAAAATAGGTACAGCTGCAGGTGCCAGGAAAGGCTCAGCATCATCTGCACACACCTGCCAAAGGCAGAAGTCACCACCGGGTCTCCGATATTGAAGATACTCACTTAAAGTAGTTCTCAAATATTGGTGTTTCAGAACATCACTGCTGCTTCATCCCTTCCCCCTTCTTTTTTTTTTTTTTTTTTTTGCATTTCTAGAAACTTTACAGGGTACAGAGGTGTATTTACATCGGTTTTCTCCTCCGGATAATGAATGTAGCAATTGTTAAAGAAGAAAAAGAGCAAACGTAGAAATAAGCATGCAAAACTAATCCAAAACCTGGGAAAAAAATTCAAGACAACCTCCAGACCCAAAGATCCAAGCAGCACACGCAACTCAATGTTAAAATAAACCTCCTCCAATGCAAGGGAAAAAAAAAAAAAAAAGGAAATCCACCTCTCCGATCAGAACTAGAAGACATTAGAAACGGCCAGGAGGGCACTGTGCCAGGAGTCCCTTGTCACTGCCCTGCAGCATTCCAAGCGAGAGGTGGCCAAGAAGGAGCCTGAGCACACTGGGGACATGTGTGTGTGTGTGTGTCCCCAGCCCAGGACCCCACGCGAGGGGCCGGCAGGTTGACTCCAGGCAGGGACACAGCACATCGGATTTGTGCTGCTGCAGTGCAGCGTTTCGCTTCCCGACAGTAACAGCGGTATTGATCTCTCTAAATGGCAGGATTTGGGCCTTAAGGTCTTTAGCTCGTTTTTTTTCCATGTGAAAGGTTTTTCCACCTTTCCCCTAGTGCCACGCTGGGGAAGGGAAGTGGGTTCTGGCCGTGACGGCTCTCCCTCCCCAGCTCGGAGCTGCATCAGCCACCACGCAAGTTACCCGTAGGCTTGAACCGATCTGGCTCGCAGAGAAACACCAGAACTGCCCATGCAGCACAGGCAGCTGCCCCGGCGGGGAAACACTCACCGGGAGGGATACAACAAAGTCCAAAAGCAGTGCTTAAATACCTTTGAAAAAATCCACATTGCAAATACTTCAGGGAAAGGGGTGGTGCAAGTCCGGTAAGACCAGTGGGTTGGAGCCGTGCGGAAGGTGTAGCCATCCCCCTTGCTGTCCTGACCAATAGTATCCAGAAAACGCCGCATTTTCTTATTCCACACACTGCAAAACTCACCCAGTGAGGCACGAGCTCAGGCTTCACTTATTAAAGCCAGTGATGCTCCTCACCTGCTGAGAGCCGTGGTGGTCCCGAGGTGCTGCGCAGGTGGGAAGCGCTAATGCATGAGCAGAGGGGGGCTGACGCGGCCGCCCGAGCCCCAGCCCGGGGTCAGAGCCCCGGCAGAGGTAAATCCCCCAACCCCACACCGCTGCCGAGCTGGGATTGTTTGCGCCCATCGGCTTTAATGAGGATTCGGCTGGAGGAGGACAGCAGGGAAAATTTCAGCCTGGCCTCTGGAGAGATGGGAAGGGGATTTCTAGCCTTGCACTGGAAATCATATCCATTTTTCGTATCCATTTTGAGTTGTCAACACATTCATGTCAGACTGGTTCGTTCCTAAGTGTAGATTTTTTAATTGGAAGTTATTTTACACACATTTTTAGTATGAAGACAGGAAACTAAAAGCTCCCAAATCCATCTGCCGGAAACGGCGTGGCAAGGAACAACACACACACAGCTACGTCGGCTTTCTTCTCCATGGGGTGCAAAATAATTTGGGGTCCTCAAGTCCTCGCTAGGAAGAGAATAACGTGTAAATAAAGCGCATGGCCAGAGCTCTTCAGCAGTTCTTAACTCTTGCTGCTATTGATGGCAATTAGACGCATAAATATCTTTGGGAACGGGGTCTCGGGGCCCAGACCGTGAGGCTGCGTGTGCTCTCAGCCCCACCAAACCCTGGGCAAGGATGAGTTTTTTGGAGGTGCAGATGTTGGCATTATTGAGCTGATATTTTACAGATGCCGCTGTTTGTGTTGCTTCGTAAATTCAGCGTAATTTTGTACTTGTTACTGAACTCCAGACAGCAGATAGAAAAATTATTTGCGTTGGAAAGCTTTCAGGGGATGAAAGCAGATGATACCCAGACCAACTGTGGTATCGCTATAGTAATATATATCATTATAATAATTTCCACCTTGAGAATTAGGAGCTGCATAAAATAGCAGCGTAAAATCGGTGTTTAGAGTATAAACTCGGCACCAAGTTCTTGCAGTAGCTGCTGCAAAACTGCACACAAATCTCATCACAGGAATAGTACTATTGTTTTTAATGGATTACATTTTTCTTAGATTTTGAAGAGTGCTCACATCATAAAATGCACGCAGGAAGTACTGTGTATGTAAAACACAGCCGCATTAATTATGAAAGCTAGTAAATGAATCATACATTACTGCAAATATATTATGCATTGCTTACATCGCTTTGCCACGGCATGTTTGCACGATAGAAATAGAAACTGGAAAGGAAGGCTGGAGAAAAAAAAACCACACCAAAAACCTAAGAAAAAATAGCAACATTAGCTGAGGAGGCAAGAAGAAAGAGGAAAAGCACAGAGGGAAGATGTGATACCAGCATGACCTTATTTTCAGACGAAGCCAGACTAATGGCCCTTGTGATAGTTGAGTACCTGGGCACTGCCACCCCGGGGGCCGAAGAGAACTCATGGGGTGATTTCTCCGGCAAAGTTATGCGTTATTTTGATAACAGAATCATATGGCCTATCTCACAGAGCGCCGCTGGAGCCCGCGGATTTCTCTCGGGTTTTCACAGAATGACTTTTCGTGCTTGTTTGCACTTTTTAGCAAAGAGTTGTCGGTGTACTGTATGTGGAGAGCGAACTGGCTTTTTAACATGACAACTTATTTCCTGCCAAATTTGCTTTAAGAAACCACTTCAGTTCTGCGCACGAGACTTCACGTTGAGTTGATTTATTATCCAGGATATAAACCGGGAGCTCTCTGGTTATAGTGGAATTCGGAGCAAAATTAATTTTTTTTTTTTTTTTTTTTTTTTTTTGTAGGAAGAACATCACTATTTCACGCAGCCGAAACACATCATCTCGCCCGGGAAACTCTGGCTGTGTGCTGGTACATTAGGCGGGGAGGAGAGGCACGCCATGAGCCTGCCGACATAATAATAGACATTCGGCTCGACTGGCAGCCAAATCACGAGGCGATGTAAGGCTGCTGATCCCTCTTAAAAACTGCAGAGCAGGATCCTTGGGTAGGAAAAAAAAAGCACCCCAACCCCTCTGGGCACCCTCGTGCTGGGTCTCTTTCCCCTTGCTGGGGTTCGTGCAGGGCGAAAGCCGGCCGGAAGGGAAGGGAAGGGAAGGGAAGGGAAGGGAAGGGAAGGGAAGGGAAGGGAAGGGAAGGGAGAAGAGAAGAGAAAGAGAAAGAAGAGAAGAGAAAGAGAAAAGAAAAAAGAGAAGAGAAGAGAAGAGAAGAGAAGAGAAGAGAAAAAAGAAAAGAAAAGAAAAGAAAAAAAGAAAAGAAAAGAAAAGAAAAGAAAAGAAAAGAAAAGAAAAGAAAAGAAAAGAAAAGAAAAGAAAAGAAAAGAAAAGAAAAGAAAATTTAAGTTTTGGCACCCTCCTCTCCTAAGCAAGAGGTTATTTTCCAAGTACGGTTATCCCATGGCTGGCGTTGCCGCTGAACCTGCCGGGTGGTGGAGAGGGGCAAACCGGGCTGGTGGAGCGGGGCAGGGGCCACTTTCCTCCTCCGGCCGCTTGCCAAGGGGCCCCTCTCTCTCCTCGGCATACCCACTGCTGTCAGCACTTGACCAGTCTCGTTTGCCTTCAAGACTCCGGCGCAAACTGCAAGAGAGAACAGAATACGCAGTCAGGATCGTGTTAAAACCTCACCAGGCTCTGCACGGGCAGTGGGGATCCAACGGGGCAGGCTCTTCCCCGAAACAACCTTCCCTGGATTTTAAGAAGGGTTTTTTTTGGTGTTTTTTTTTTTTTAGGCTCAATTTGGCACGCATACGCTTAATTCAAAGAGCCGCTCCACCCTGTCTCTGCTCGGCACGCACTGCCGTGCCACGCCGGCGTAAAGCACTGTGGGGACAGAGAGAGGTTGGGAGTTACCAAACCTTACCGAAGACTTTCACCTTTGCCATCTGTCGAAGGACATTTCCATTAAACGATTCGTGCTAACCAACCCTACCGGGACATCCACTGGTTTCTGCTAGAGAGAAACCTTTGAAAGAAGGAAACTTGGAACGGGGCGTTTGGGATGAGCTGAGCCCCAGGAGGAGGAATGTGGAGAGCAGAGCCGAGGGCCGGCGCTGGCTGCTGGCCGCCCTTCGGATACCCGTGGCAGGCAGCGCTGCTCAACAGCCGCCGCTTCGCCCAGCCCAGGGACGACCGCTGTTCTGGCACCTCGTACATGCAAATAGTTCTGAGAAATATTCCAGTTTTGATGTCAGCTCTCATTGCCTTCCAAGTCTTGAACACCCAAAGAAGCCAGTTGCATATTCATGCCGGCGTTAGACCTCATCACATCCCTGAGATGGAATGATGGAAAGATGGTGGTTGGAAGGGACCTCTGGAGGTCTTGAGCCTTCCCTCCGCCCCCCCCCCCCAGCCAGGGCTAATGTCACTCTCAAATCATAATAAGCTTTACAGAACGCAATCTGGAAAAGCCACGAAGGAACTACATCGCACTCCCTCTCCCCAACTGACTTTGGTGAGATCTTCCACATCAAATTCTACCTTTGTCTCACTTTTGGCTGGATAAACTATTCTAGGGAAGTCTCAGGGATTGTACCGAGCACAAAATTGGATTTTCTAAGCCTGTAAAGCTTTTGCTGCCCCAAGTACAATTCACCATCCAGTCTTAAACCCTCAGACACTGACCTACGTGGCTGTCCTGGAGAAGGACGCGGGCCACCGTGTTTAAATGGTTTGGACTGGGAGAGGGCCAGAGCCTGCTGAAATCTGTCTCTACTGATCCCAGTGTGTTTTGGACCAAGCCCTGAAGGAGAACGATGGGGCCAAAATTCACGGTGTGCTTTGTACTTGGAAACACACTCCCTCTTTGTGCCAGGCTGCCCCGGGTAAGGACACAGCCCGGGTCCCCGCACAGCCCGCCCTGGCAGCAGGCAGCCCAGCCCACCTTCTTTCTGAGAAAGAAAAGGAGAATAAAGCGCAAATAAAATTCTAGGAACGTTGCAAATGGATCAGGCGAATGAAAACCTTGGGGGTGTGTTATTTGCATTTGACAAACCCCTTTCTTCTCATCCGTATTCAGCCTTTGCTCCCAAATCTTCCAGTGCCACCCATGCCAACGCTTCAAATTCAGGGGTTTCGGATCAGCGTGGGAAGCTCAGCGGAGTGACCCTGCGACCTGCGGGACTCCACAGGGCATCTCTCTGCCTCGGGATGCAAATCCGTCCTGGTTACCACGGCCAGCCGGAGAAATCCACCCGACGGGGGATCGGTTTGGTGCCCTTTAACACCGTCTGGCTCCCGTTAAGTTACGAACACGGCAAGGAAAGATGCTGCGGTGCCGGCATCGGGCAGGGACCAGTCGATGGCTGGCACGACCTGCACCAGCGATGCGGCCGCATGGGCTGGTGTCGGGCTCCATCCCTCCTCATCCCGGCAGGCTCCGGTGTAGAACCAGAGCTCTGCTCCCCTCCGTCTTGTATTTCCACTGCCTCGGAGCCAGTAAGCAGAACAAAGCCTTTGGACGATTTCCGTTAGCTCCAGGCAATCTAGAACCTTTGCCAAAGAATTACATAGAGGCAGTATTAAATAATAGGGTTGTCTCCAAAGTCTTTTAAATACAGAGGCTGCAATCGGCATCGTTCCTGGCAGGCAGGCAGGCAGGCAGGCAGGGAGACCGACCTACCCATCAGGACCCCATTTTGCGACTTACAGCAGCCTGTCAGGAAAGATCGATAGTTGGCATGGTAACAAGCTCATTTCCCAAGAATAGAGCTCCTTTTTATTAAATTTGGCTGGCTATTGATCAGTTCCTGATCCACGTATCAAAACATGACAAGCACTTAATAAATCACAGATTTTTATTGAGGCAAATAATAATAATAATAAAAAAAAGTCGTAATACCAGGAGGCAGCTGGGGATGCTGCCTGCTCCTGAGGATGGCCCACCGGCTGCGGCCAGAGCCGGGCATGCTGCAGCTCTGCCGGGCTGGGGCAGGGATGGAGAATGAGCCCCAGCGGAACCTACTCTTAGGGCAATTTCAAGACCGTAATCGGAATATCCTCGTTTCCCCTGCCACGCACGTCTCTTAGAGCAGCATCCCCATCGAGCAGCTTTTTGTGCTGCGTGGGATTTTATCCCTCCTCCCCGCTCGCTGTCCACGGCTCTCTGCTGTTTGCTAATAAACGGTGAAGCTGTGCGGTCCCACCCCACGGCTCCCAGCCCTCCAAAGCCAGTGTTTTCCCAGACGTCGCTCTTCGGACCTTGAAAACTTTTCCCTCGGCAGCGAGATCCCATATCCCCACACATCTGCAACCCGCCGGCAGCACGGCCGCATCATGCCGCAAAGAAGCATCAGCGTACGGTCAGTCCATGCAGACTTTCTGAAATCACCCCTAAACTTTGCATTAAACTGATTTACCTTGGTCCTCCCGAGCAAAGCTGTTTACTTTGCATCCTTAAGCACGTGGCCGTAGCCCGGGGAGCAGCTTGGCCAGTCCTTGCAGCAGCCCGACGTCCCTCCGTGTGCCATGCCGGGGATCCGCACGCCTCCCATTTGCCATCCCAGAGGGTGGGTAGCTCCGGTGTGACACGGTACAAACCCCTCAGCCTTCCCACGGGAGCGATGCAGTCCATCAGGAGGATGATAGGCTCATTTAAATTGCTTTAACGTGCATTTACATGAGAGATAATAACAGCTCCAAAGGCTTCTTCCAGCCTATTAAATAATACACACTTAAAATAGTGTCTGAATTCATGCTGAAATGGCAGACTATAATAATCCAGTCATATCCACCCTGCATATACAGCCGACTGTAGATGCTTAGAAAAATTGCAGGATGTATTTATTTACATGATATGGTGTGTGATAGCTGATTTTTTCAGGTCATCTCCTGTAATTGGTCTGACACAGACAAGTTGCTGCACGAGGTCTATCTCCCTCTGTCAGATATTTTAAGAGGAGAGGAAATAGCCTGACCACACACACGGGTGCGTCAGAGTGTCCAAAAAACTAGTGGTTCTGCAAACTAGGACAAAAATTCCAGACACAAGGTAAGTAGCCCAGCCATGCCCTGCGCTCCCCGGGGACAGCTGCCACCTCATAACCAATCAATTCATAGTGAAGGCAACCATTTCAAGCAGCTTCACTTACGGAAGTTCTTAAAAAAACTCCCAAAACGTTTAACAAATAAGTGTACGGATTTCAAAAGGGCTCAGGCTCTAAGGTCGGGTAATTTGTAAGACTTTGGCGCCTGGGGAGCCTGAACCCCTCTTCCACTGTCTTGGCAAAGAGCAGGAGCCCAATGCAATGAACCACGAGGTAGGTGATGGAGTTCTTCTGAGGTCAAAGGAGCCCTCCATCGCCGTGTGCTATGTGGCACCCTTCCATGGCCACGTGTGGCAACCCCTGACATGGGCATTTGTGCATCCCAGTAGTGTCTGTCCCCTCTCCACCCAGGACACTTCTGCTTTGCACCAGTGAAGCTGGACAAGGGCGAGCCCTTGGATAACTGACCTGAACACAGAGCAACTCGTTTGGCATCTTAAAGCCTTCAGCGGAGTTAAGCATCGTACAGCAAAGTCACCATACATCCTACACAGCCAGCAATATCCACTCTGCTTTGCGGGTGGGAAGTAGAGCCCAAACAGTTTATCCACCTGCGGCCACACCAGACCACGGCTAGGATTCAAAATCGCTGATGCTCAATGATGTCCTTGGTGCACCGTGCACAGCCGTACCTCTACATACACTTCAGGGCGCACTGCTATTGCTCACGTTCCTACAGGACTATCGCCGTACATCGTCTGGGCTTGCTGACACTGCTTGAGCACCAGTCTGAAAGGTCACAAGAAGACGGGCCAGGAAGCAGTGGTTGCTTTTACTCGGGCTTTCGAGAGACAGCGATGCCTCGAGAGCAGAGCAGATCAGCCCCCACGCTAGCCAGGGATGGCCGGGCGCCCCAGGTCTGCAAAGTCACTGACATTCTCCTCTCCCACTGGGAGCAAAGGATGAACCTTTTCATCACGTTACTCGTGGGTTTTTTTTTTTCCAGATGCTCAAAGAACAGGAAGAAATCAGGTTAAATCAGTAAGTAAGTGGACAAGAGTGATTCTCTTTGTCATCACCTCCCTCTGAGGGCAATTGTGGGGGAGAAAGAAGAGTGCTGTCTTGGCTGTTTTAAAGCTTAGCAAATCCTGCCATCATTTCCACAGGAAGAGCATCATCTTCCTATTTGTTCTCCATTTCAGACTGCGCTCCCAGCCCTGTGCGTTTCCTTCCCGAGAACATTCAACCCAGACTCAGCTACTGAAGTGCCCTAAACACCCCTAAAGGCAAATTCTGCCAGACGTGCCTGGAGATACATCAAACCCATCATGTCATTTAGCTGCTCCTGAAGTCTGACTCGGTAAGACTCGGGGTTGGAGTTGGGCATTTGGCTGTGGAGCGGTGGGCATGGTTCGCCTTGAGCTCGAACAGCTGAGCTCCACCTAGAGCCTGCGATCGGGGCGAGCTCCACAAACCGCAGGTGGGTTTTCCCCACTCAGCCCCCACCGGGGCTAACCGGTGCCAGCCCCTGCCCGGCTGCAGAGCCGAAATTCAGCCATAAACCGCACAGCAATCCCCGGGGAGGGGGAGAGCTGCGGCCAAAACCCAAGTGTTTCCCCTTGGCCACTCATCCCAAAGATGCTCAAAATGAAATCAGCAAGGGTGACGCTTTCTGCTTACAAATTATCCTGGCAGCCGGTAAAAATTCCTAAGGAGAGCGGTGGGGTGTGTGTGTTTGTGGGAACCGGCCGTTTGCCACTTTGAACTGCTTTTGCCGCAACAGTGGGATTTCAACAGAGCCCCGCACTCGATGCCGGTGGGAGGCACGGCCGATGCCCGCCGGCTCTCCCGGCAGCTTCGCTGCGAGGGGCTGGGAAACCCCCAGACACCCACGAACCCAC